GAAGTGGAGATTCGGGAATCATCACCATTTGGGGGTCAATGTGGAGGCCTTGGGGTGAAGATCTGAGGGACACCAGCTTTCAAGGGGCAGGCAGAGAGAGCAACCAGCAGAGGAGCCTTAACTGAACGTGAGCCAAGAAGGCTGGATGGGTCTCCACCTCGCTTTCCATCAGCCTCTGGACTTTAAATAACTATTTGATGACAACAGATGGTATGGAGAGTGGCCTTGTGTTCAAATTTGTGGCAGTTTTTAATTTTAATATTTCTTATTTATTCATAATATTATAATTGAATATCCTGGAAGTATTCCACATATAAAATACTTGATTCGTAAATTTTGAAAGGAGAATTTAGGAGAATATATGGAAACCCAGAATAATACCTTAAAAAAGCTAAAATTATGCTAAATCTTTATTACTATTTTATAGTAATATATTATAAATATTATTTGTAATATAATGTTAGACATAATATATAAAATATAAGCAATATCTATTTTATATATAAATATATAACATATATGAATAATATACAAAATTATTTACAATATAGTATAAATAATAATATAAAATATTATATTGTTGTTATTCCCATTGTCTCTACAGTAGAGTTAGGGTAGCAGTGAAGATGTGTCCATCACGCTGAGATACTGGCACAGTGCTTAGACACTAGCTAGGCACTTCCTTTAGGTTTTGTTTCCTCATGGTTAAAACAAGATGAGAATAGGGCCTCTCTCATGGGGTTGTGGTAAAGACGGACTGGGCACAGTATCTGTCACAGAGCCCTGCCTGCGAATGTCAGCTGTCCTTGTTAGTAATATTTCCATTAGGGTGTTCCTGAGATGGCCAGGGGGTGGTTGTGCTAGTCTTGAAGTGGACGTTTATAGACTTATATTTCTTTCCTTTTGGAAAGGATATTGTAAATTTCTTCATCTACAGACTGAGTGGAGAGGTCGGTAGCACGCTAAGTTTCTTGAGCGGAGTGATGGCTTCCCGGGGCCACCATGGGCATTTTCTCTGTGGAGGCGATCCCATCCTCCTCCTGCCCCCTGCAGCTTTGTACATGCCTGCGCCGCTCTGTTCCCCGTTAGTGGTTGGAATTGACGATAGGAGTTTCCAAAACAGGGAGAGAAAAGGAGCAAGACATTATTCTGACCTAGATAACGCAGGGTGTTATGAGGCTACTCAAATCCTCGTCACCTTACTCTGGATTATCACAATAGTAATAAGTGGCCGTCTTCCTTCTCTTTCTAGCACGTCTATACTTCATGTGATTATTGGAAAAACCTTTCTTAAGTAACACGACAGTCATCACGTGTTCTAGATCCAGAAGCCATGGTGGCTTCATGTTGCTTTTTGTTTCAGATCTGAAGCTCTTCACAGGACTATAAAGACAACCAGCTTTTGCTAGCTGCTGGACTCATCCTCCATTTGTTTGTCTAAATTCTTGTTTTCTTTCGTTATTATTGCCGGTCCTCCCACCTCTCCCTGCTCTGGGTTTGCTGCTTTTTATGTGGTTAGGTGTATTGTGATGCTAAGGTAAACATCTCTAGTACAGCTTTGTTCTGTTCCAAGATGACAGACTGTGAGTGTAAATTGACGCTTCCTTTGTTAAGAGCACTTTACCAGTCTCTATCAAAATTTTAAATGTACCAACCCTTTGGCAGGAATTGCTCTTGTGGAGATTTATGCTACAGGAATATTTCACATGAAGATGTATGCACGAGGGGGTTTATTATAGTGTTGTGTGAAGTAGGGAACAACCTGTATGTCCACCAGTAGGGGACTGGCTAAATAAGTCACAGCGCTGACAAAGACTGCAATACTGTGTAGCATTAAAAAAAGAATAAAGCTGATATTTAGGTGCAGATGAGCTCTACAGTATATTGTTAAGGGACCAAAAAATATGCTGTGTACAGAAAATATGCCCTAGTTGTATTTAAAGGAAAAAGGGTTTAAAATCACATTTATACTTAGTAATGTACTGAACAATTATGGAAAGATAAATCACAAGCTTTTAGCAGTAACCTTTGTGGAGGGGGTCCTGAGCAGGAGGAGCCCACATTTCTTTTCATTGTTTAATCTTTGTATCTTTTGAACTCATACCATGGGAATATTTTCCCCTTTTAATTTTTTTTAAGTGTCCTTGACATTTTATTCTACATTTTCTTCCAAGTCTCGTGTTGCCATTAGTACTTAATTCATTTCATTATAAGAGAAAACAGAGGTTCTCCTGATCTTGCCTTTCCTTTAGACCCTGCCTTCGTATGTGTATGGCAGATGAGTGCAGTAATAATTTGGGTGTGTAAACTAGTGTACTAGCTAGTGTGCACGAGTGTAAACTTGTGAATAACCAAAGATGGCAATGACGTTTTAAAAATGTAAGGCTGTGCTTCCTTGTTGTTTGTTTATAAAATGTGATGCTGAACATATTCTTTATTTTCTGATACTAACGTTGCCCTCTTACCGTCTATTAAATTACTTATTCCTTTTATTCTTCTTGAGATGAAAATAAGTACATACCAGAAAATAAATATAGCTCTGAAGCGGGAAAAAGCTCAGGTTTGTTATGAGATATATCTTTTAGATCTTTATTAAAGCTGCCACATGGAGACTTTATAGTCCCAGTGTAAGTTATATATAGATGATGATTGTTTTAGGTTAAAACTTGGTACCTTTTCTGGAGGTTCTCTCAGTTAAATTAATCCTTATGTTCAAACATAAATTGAGGCAGAACAAGTTCCATTCAGCGATTCTTACTAAATTTTGTTTTGGTTTTATTTCCAACTGTATTTAATAATTGAAAGCCTCTTGTGGTTAGGAATAATGTTTGAGACTTCGGTGGTGTCTAATTATTTTGAACTTTTAAAGCCCTAAAAAGTGTAATGTAAAGTCCTAGTAAAATTTTCTGAGAGCTTTCACAGTCTATTAGTTCAGTGTTGCTTATTTTAGAGGGGACAATATCTAAATTGAAATGTGTATTCACTATAGTTATAATGGTCTTTTTCAACCCTTTTAAAAATCAGTTCATTTAGCTACAAAGAGAAAATAAAAAGAAATTTAAAAGGCTAATAAGCATAGGGCCTGTGAGCCTGTTCCTGTTTCTTAACCAAAGTTTACTAAAAAAAGTGCCTGAGCGCTGCCGGTAAACTGTGTGTGTGCACACGCGTGTGTTAAAGGAACAAGCGGGGCCTGCTCATTTGTTTGCCCATTGTGAGGCTGTCCTGCACCTTTGTGGGTTTTTTGTAACAGGGTGAGGGCCCCTGAATGGAGGCCTTGTGGCCTTCTCAATTTGAAATCCTCGCTGTTAATCTAAAGGAACCTGCAGGGCCCCCAGCGGGGCGTCTGTGTGACAAGTGGAAGGTCTGGGATCCGGAAGGAACGTGTTGGGGGAGGGCGTGGCGGGAGTGGTACTAATCTTTCAGCCTTGGCTTCTGTCCCCCACAGCCTAATTATTACCCTCTGTTGGCAGCCAGATTGAAGCTATGTTTTAAGTATCCTTGGATCGCATGTGCTCACTGAGACCTCCCATTACTGTTATCAGATGAAAACCTGGACAATGGGATTTAATTCTCTTACAGAAGTATGGTGCCGACTGGGCATTATGCCTTACTCTTAGAAGTTAGATATCTTGATTAATTGTGTATGGGGGGTGGTTTATTTAAAGGGCAGAAGGTTGCTTGGGAAATGCTGGATCGTTGGCCCGCCCTGCACTTCAGAGCCTGTTTAAAGGCAGGTCGCACCAGAGCTTAGCTAGTTACATCTAGTTTGTAGGGCTTGTGTACTTTGTAGTGCCAGCAATTGGTCCAAAGTTTCTTGGCTTAGGAAGCCGTGTAATTTTCAGTGTGTGCTGGGTGAGAAAGAGGTGGGGCAGCAGAAGCTTTTTATAGGGTTTCAACTAATAAACATTAATTTTTAAGTAATATTCTGAGGGTTTAACAGGAGAAGTAGAACTTGCATATAATGTTTCTTGACTTCTGACGCATATTTCAACTGATAGGGAAAGGGAGAGAATTTTATTTTTGAGTGCGATTTTTCATTCTTTTTTTTTTCTCTCCACTCAGAAACTGGTTCTTCCACTTTCAGTGCCAATTAAGACATGCTGTAATCAGTATTTCACATTCTGTCCTGCTGTTTGACTTCGAGTGTAAATGGTAGACTGTTTAGTAGCTGCGTGTGCATAGTTAAACAGCTAGAGAGCTGGTATACAGTAAGCTTGGTGTGGTATTTGGTTTATATAATAATATTTCATCACAATACTGAAACCATGCAGACTATACCTCCTGGAAAAATGTTCAACAGGATGCCAGAAAGGCCGTGTTAATGATAAGTTTCTCATACCTCAGCAGGTTTTTTGGGTGTGTTTTGTTCCCCACTGCTGTTTTATTCTTTATTGTGGTTTTCTGGAAACTATGCCACATGAACATATGGAATTCTATACATGAGTGTTTATTGGTTTTGTAGAAACCCCGGGATACTGTGAGCCTAATAACTAAGTTGTTTTGTGGGTTACTGAGAGGGCGTATTAAAAGTCAGTTGATAATAAAGTTTTCATTAATTATTTTAACATTCTCAAGGTAATATTTAAAGGCACTTTAGCCAAAATCAGAATTAAACAGTACAATCAAAATCAGAATTAAACAATAAAGTGAGCTTTTGGTTTGCTCTGGTTTAAAAGAGAGTTTGGTTATAGCTGACCTCCCCCCCATCTTTCAGTGACTAGTCATCTTCCTGCAAAACTCAAATACGATCTTGAGTTTGTATGGTCTCAGGATAAATGTAGTTGTTCATTATATATGTTTTTGCTCTTGATGATTCACTGTTTTTTTTGTTTTTGCTTTCAATAAAGTGTTAAAGAAATGATAGCTATAATGTATTTATATGTCTGCTTAAATGGAATGAATCAATAGTTTGTGATAAGCCTTTGATGCATTTTGGTGGCCGAAGAAGCTTATAACTCACTGAGATATTTATGAAGTGCTTCATGTTTGTGTTTGTTTAGGACATGTCTCAGGAAGGCTATGGAACTAGGTCTCAACCTCCTCTGGCTCCCGGAAAACCTAACCACGAAGACTTGAACTTAATACAGCAAGAAAGACCATCAAGTTTACCAGTAAGACATTCATGTGCTGATTGAGAAATGTAATGAGTTAAAGATTTTTAAAAAGAGATCTTGTTTTTGTTGGTTCTAGTTGATATTAAGACTTGGGGTAGAAATTTCCAGATTTCAGATATATTTGTGATTTATTCATTTGTTTTAGGGCTTCATTCTTAGGAGCTGTGTAGTCCTGGATAAGTGTTTCATTTGTAGATATCTCCGAGTCCAGTTGGCAGGTTTGATTCGGCTGATGGGTTTTGTGGCAGAAAGGTGTTTCCCTGGTACAGCTGTGTTTTGTTTAGCTTGTTGCTTTCTGGTGGTGATACAGAACAGAGGTGTCTGGGTAAGAGTTAAACGTAAAGAAATTCCGACTCAGCAAAGGATATAAAAGATGCGATAAAGCATCCGGTAGTAGTTTGAATCTCTCCTGGGACTTTATGTAACGAGAAATCACCCAATCTTTTTTTGCCCAAAAGAAAGTATTTTAGTTTAAAATTGGAAAAAGTAGCTTAGAAGTATTTCCGCCAGCAAATACTGCGTGGTGATCGGAGTATATATTGACCAGAGTAGTGGCTATATTATAGGGTATCATGTTGTTGCCCATAAATAGTTCATCTGTGCCTAATTTGCTTTGTTTACAGGCAACCTAGTTTAAATGAGGTTTTCCTTATAAACTAAAAGAATACATCTGTGCAAACAAATTTTATATTTATCTTCCTGTTAAGATATTTTGATTTGAAGAATTATTGTTATTGCTTAATCTCTATTAAGAAGTTTTATTTAAGATGGGAGCTCAGGCTAGCCATGATTTTAATTTGAATTTCAAATATGTTTACATTAAGTAAGATTTATTATATTACTTCTAAACACCTGAGAACAAACATTTGTGATGAATGTTATACACGACATTTGGCGTGTGTATCTTACCCATTTGTAAGTTTCTTGTGGCCCTAGAGAAGAAGGTAAGTGATGGCCACAGGTTGTACAGTATCTTTGAACCTGCTGCACATATTTTTGAAACCCCAATTTTTACAGCTTTTCTTTCTATGGTGGGAGGTACGTGATATTTATTGTGGTCGTTTTTTAGTAACATTGGAGTATTTCTTGTCTAGTTATTTGGTTTTTGAAGGAATGAAAAAGGTGATAGAGTCTATGTTTTATGCTGTAAGCTTTCTTCTTCAGCAGATAATTCACAGCTTGGTGAGCATGTAGTGTGTGTGTGTGCGTGCACGTGCACACGTGTGTGCATGCACGTGAACACTTGATAAATGCAACATTTGCTGACTATTTGGAAATTGGCTTGTGGTTTTAGGAAATTTAAATTGACTCATGGGAAGCAAGCAGACGGTGAATTCTTCTTTTTTTCACCAGACTTTTAGTGTTTTTAGAGAAGCCCAACTTGGTAGGTTTGTCATTGGCTGGTGAAGTGTACTGTTATACAGGTTGCAAAATTTGTTATAAATTAATACAGATTTCCTGTGTAACTGTAGAAGAGTTTGCAGTGTACTGCTTTCTCCGTTTCCACTTGAACTGGGGCGTCACTCACTAGCCTATGCTTCTTTTTATGGCTCTGGGTGGAGTGGATGGTGGACATTCAGCTAACCCTACAGCATAACTGGGGAGGGAATGGAGTGGGGCAGTCCCAGAAAACTCACTGAAGAGTTCTGCTCTGGGATGGTGCTCTTTAAGTCGATTACTGGAGAAGGGGCTCAAAGTATTTGAGGAAGTGAACCAATATATTCATCAATAGTTGAAATTTTTCTGAATTGTTCTATTTGTATACATATATAATGGCTATCTTTCTTTCTTAATCTTTACCTTGCCTACTTCCCAAGAGGATTTCAGGTTGCCCCTAATAAAAATTTTCTTATGAAGCTATTGAAAAAAAAATGCCCTCATTGGTATTTTCTTTCTGTTTTTGTAACTCATGGATAAATAAGATGCTGACTGACTCAATAACATTTCAATAATCTTTTTTTAGAGAGCAAAGTTTCCAGGTTTTATGGTGAGTATATAGAAATGTCAGTTACTGAATAAAGGGCAAAGCATAGATCAGCTGGGGGACCTAAACCCCCTGCTCCCAGTCTGTTAAGATGAAAATTGGCTTTATTTAAATGAATTTTAGAGCAGTACTTTTCTTTCACCAGGCTTCATTTGTGTAGAAAGTGTCTGTACGAGGTTTACAAATGTATTTTTCTTTATGTGTATGCTGCATCTCAGTATGTTGTTGTATACAAATAAGGTAATTACAATTTGGGGGAAAGATTTGTTGGTGTTCTGTATGGCTCTAATATTGTGTATTTTTAGTGTAACTTTTTAAAAATGTTTTAGTTCTCTAACTTGGCTAAGTAGATACTATAGGTACCTTGAAACTATATTTGTTATCACATCTGAATTTGGTATTGGGTCTTTTGTAGATTTATACTACATATTTCCTTTTCGAGTGTCAGTGAGATAAATTTTGTCTTTTTAAAGACAATTTATCATATTTGTAATCTCTTTTGTAATTTCGAACTAAGGAAATTGTGGGTCTTATCTGTACATTTAAAACAATGTGGCATAGTGATTCTAATGTATAATTATTATCTTTATCCATTATATATGTGACTGTAAGAAGAAAACTTCTCAAGTAGTTCTTAATTTTTTGCTCATATTGAGATAGATTTTGTAATATTTTTCTGCATGTGTGATTTTTTTCTTTAGCATATGTTTGTTACACGGTTAACTTTCCATTACAAGAAATCAAGACATTTCCAGTATCCTTATACTAGATCTATAATTTGACCCCTCACTAAGCTAGCCTCTCACCATTGTTTGAACTGGTATTTCTCTATATTTCCATGTCATTAAATTCTTGGTGGTCTTCTTCAGAAGCTAAGGCAGATATGTTTTCCAGCTGACTTAGATCTTCAGATCATCCACATAAAGCAAATGACTGATAAATTAATACTTGTCCTCTTGTCTTGGGGCCATGACCAGTAATATTTACTTTTTCACTTAATGCACTCAGACCTAAGCTCAGAACAAATCTTCCTTAATCATGTCCACTTATTTCTGTACCACTTAGTCATACAGCTTTCTGCCTGTTGAGATGCATTAGCTTATAAACGCTTGGTATTGCCATTATTAACAAATCTTAGCATATAGCATGTGATATAAAAAATAGCTTGAAGAACTCTATCTCCTTGGAATATTATCCCTTAAATCTTGAGCACATTCTGTAGTTTTTTCTGCCTCTACTATTGATGTGAAATGAAGGCAGCATTTAAGCAAAATGCACAGTGGAAGCTCTTCAAAAAATGCCATAACTTATTAATATATTGAGTATATCTCAATATACGTTTTAAGATAACCCCCAAAATAGGATTTAATACACTTTCTGTTGAGTCTCTTGTTCCATTGCCATCTCTTGTGGCATTTACTGTTCATCTTTTTATTACAGTTATTTTTATAGTTGTCCTGGTCCCCCATTAGACTAGGATCTTTTCAGAGTGTTTATTATGTTTTATTCAGTAAGTACTTTCCTAATAGAATTTATGTAAAAACTTTTAAATACATTCTTGCCCCATTTTCAGAATTTTCTTTTAATTGCTTAAGGGATGTGTTCCAAGGTATTGAATTGACCTCAGAAGAGCCTGTGTTCTCCACATGCTAGTGATACAAAGGATTATATTAGTGTGATATCTGTATTACAGCATGGTTTTGTTCTTAAAATGATTTTATTTTATTACAAAATGGCATTTGAATTTTACCTTTGTCACCTTAAGCTTCAAGAGAAGTGGGCACTTTGGATAATTAAGCTAAAAGTAGCATGAAAACATTCTATTCTTAGTAATATATATTTTTTAATTGTAAAAATAAATAAATTGACAGAAACGGTAATCATAATTTCAGTAAATATAGTATAAATATGTTGCTAATAAAATATTTATAAACTTGTATAAGAGGAAATTTAAAAAAGGTTTGATTTTCTTCCTCATTCTAAGCAAATAGTGTTTTCTCCTCCAGGGATCTGAAGAGTTGTTAATATTCCTCAGTTTAGAAATAACTGATTTGTTTTACTCTTCAGAGAGGGCTGCCACCAGTTGGTATTTCAGATAGCAAGTCCATTATTTTGTTTATCTAAGATACAGAATACAATCAGTCATATTCTAATAGCCTTTGAGAAGGCCCATCAGGTCATTAAAAACCTCTTTCTGACCCTTTCTTCCTTAAATAGGAAATACCTAAAGAGGCTGACATGCAAAGGGTTTGATCTTTCTGAATTTAGTGAAAACTCTAGATGTGTGGAATAGTGTTTATGACACTTTTGTTGAGTTTGCAATTAGAAGGAAATATTGAGGTTTGGGTAAAACATGTTTTTTGGCCCTTTGTGAAAGGAAGGAGGTAGTAAATGCTGGTTGTTCTTTAAAATAGAGGGTGTTAAACAGGATATTAGAAGCCTGAAAGAGAATGGTTGGAAAACTCATATTACCAAGAGTATTTTTGGGGGTTAGGTATTAGCAACAGAGCATAAAATGATCTGTCTTTCCTGAAAAAGAATACTCTGTGTGTGTGTGTGTGTGTGTGTGTGTGTGTGTTTTGTGAGGAGATCAGCCCTGTGCTAACAGCTGCCAATCCTCCTCTTTTTCCGCTGAGGAAGACTGGCCTTGGGCTAACATCCGTGCCCATCTTCCTCCACTTTATATGGGATACCGCCACAGCATGGCTCACCAAGCAGTGGGTCGGTGTGCGCCTGGGATCCGAACCAGCGAACCCCGGGCCGCACGCACTTAACGACTTGCGCCACCAGGCCAGCCCCAGTGTTTTTGTTTTTTTAATCTTTAATGACTTATTTTGGGTAGGGGTGAAAGGTCATGAACTTTGGAAGCATATATGAATATTGATGATATGTTAATAGGGACATTTTAAGTGTGTAGATTTGATAATATAGTTCCTGTGAACGATTGGAAACTACTGGAAAAAGCTAGGTGAAGCATTTTTTAACTGAGTTTTGCTTTTTACCACGTCCTCAA